GCAGTTAAACGAAGTGCTGTAAAATGAGGTGTGCTTGTATGTGGAAAGCAAGACTGGGGAATTTGGGTTTCTTGTCTGAGGGCAGTGGAGTGATTTAAGGTGATTAAATGGATCAATTCAGACACTTCAGAGAGACCACGCTGACGTCAGTGTTGGGGAGCAGAGGTGCCAGATCAGGAGAAGGCGAGGATTCTAGAATACAGAATCAAAAGAACTGAGTGAGGCGTGACAGAAGCCTTCAAGGGTGGTGCCCAGGTTTCTGTTCGGAGTAATTCTTTAGATGTTAGGTACCACTTACCAAACAAGAGTACAAGAGGAGGAGCAGGTCTGGTGGAAAAGCGGAGTCCACTTCCGTGCTTGCTCAGTTTGCGCGGCCTGTGGGCCATCCCCCCCCCCCCCCAGGGGGGAGCAGTCTCTTGAGCCCAAAGGACAGCTCTGGCTGAAGGGAGGACAGGTATGTGTCACCAGTCCATCCTATGCAGACTGTACTTTAGGGAGGGCAGGGGGTGAGGAGGTTTGGGGTGAGGGAGAAGAGAGCAAAACACAGAATCCTGAGAAACACCACCCCTCCAGGTGTTTTCACTCTGAAGGAAAAAACTCCAGCTATAAATTATGACCATTAGGGTGCCTGGGTGGCTCAGTTGTTAAACGTCTGCCTTCGGCTCAGGTCATGACCCCAGGGTCCTGGGATTGAGCCCCATATTGGGCTCTCTGCTCCACGGGAAGCCTACTTCTCCCTCTCCCACTCCCCCTGCTTGTGTTCCTGCTCTCGCTATGTCTTTCTCTGTCAAATAAATAAATAAAATCTTAAAAAAATATGGCCATTAAAAATAATGGACTTGTTTTCTTACTCTAGCAAGGGGATGTTTGTTTTGTTGGATGAATTTTTTAAGCTATATTGGAATTCTACATATTCAGAAATAAGGATGGAAAATTAAATACGATGTTGGCCTAGAGAGCCTTTCCTGGAACCAAACAGGCTTGTGATGTGATTCTGTTCAGCCTGGGTTGAGGTGCCTTTGACTTTGTTCTGGAACAGTCTGCATGCACTAACGTCTTCTGTGAACCCACTTCTCAGCCCAGCCGCGGATGCAGCCAGCAAGGCGGGTCTCCTTCTCCGTCCGCATCTCTCCACATCTCCTTAAGTCTAAAACCCTTTTTTCTCTTGGCTCTTCTTACTCCAGTGATGAGGAGGAGGGGTTGCATAGTAAGTAAGCAACTTTGGTGTCCATGGCTGTTCTCCAGAGTCTGACCAGTGCTGAAAATGCTGTCAGCTTAACTAAGAAATTGTCTGGGGACTTTTATCCCTTGCATGCCATCATTTCTAAATCACTTGTCTTCATGCTTCGCTTTGAAAATTAACCTGGATGAAACAGTTTTGGTCTTCTGTACAGTACACCACCTGCACTGGTTGATCCAGTGGCCTGATTGCAGGGCATGGGCATGTGTTCCTGTCCCACCTTGTACCTTGTGTGTACTGAGCACTAATTTCACAGAGCTTTCTATTTGACAACATAAATTTCATTTTTCCTTGTTTTGCTTTTTTTGTCTCATGGGACATCTAGATATCCACCTTTGGTATTTAAAAGCTAATGTTAAACATTTTTCTTCTCACCTTTCAGACGTGTCTTTAAAAATACCTTTCCCTTGGGGCACCTCACTGGCTAGAGCATGTGACTCTTGTTCTCAGGGTTGTGAGTTTGAGCCCCAAGGTGGGCAAAGAGATTACTTCAGAAAAAAAAATAAATAAAAAATACCTTTCCTTTGAGGTTACACCCCTCATGTAATGTAACCTAATATGAATTAGGGGGTGGGTGTTATAGATTCATTTCCTTCCTTCCTACCTTCTTTCCTCCGGAACTTTTTCAATCCTTTTACTACAGTGTGGATTTCAGATTAATATATTCTTAATTGATAATGCCTAGTTTAAAAACTTTATAAAGTATCAGTTTTTGTAAGCTTAGAAAGGAAATGAATTCTCTCCCCTCCCCATGAAAAGATCACTGTTTTCAATTATGCAAGACTTCTAGAGTATTTCAGGATTGCTATTTTTAATGGAAAAAACATTTCTATAATAAAGGTAAATAATGAATTGTTTTCATTTCATATAACTAATATGAGTCTCAGGGAATTACAGTATTCATATAATTGAACACCCTAATTCCTACCACTTGCTGACCCTATATTTCAACAGTATTTAAGTGTCTATTTAAATATTAAAATTTTATAATTAAGCAATATTAAGTTCAGAGTGACCTCTGCATTCTTACGAGAAAGTACCGTATGTACAGTAACAGAAAGTTTAGTTAATTTCTCTTAAATGGAGGTCTTGCTATAGTCAGTCCTTTTTTTCCACAATTAAAAGATGTTTGGTAAATAGGCACACCATGAGATACTTTATACCAGTTGTAATAGGAGGGAAGTTGTGAAAATCCACTTACAGCTTTGAGTGTTCAGAAATTCTCAAGCCTCTTTCAGCTCAAAGTATTTGTGATACCCCGGGAAATAGGTCTACTTATGGCCACTAAAACAAAGGTCCCAGTGGCATTTCTTCTACCACTAATACAAAATGATTAATATAAAACGGCACTGGTTATACAGTTAACCCAGCATGATGGAATCATAAAAATATGGATGCTTGAAGAGACCTTTGAATCAAGTATCTAGCATTCCTCAAAATGTGTTCCTTAAATTCAAAAATAGCAGTAGGCATTAGGGAGGTGGAGGGGAGAGGAAGATAAAGAAAGGGTGGGTTCATGGCCATGTAAATTTAGGAAATTCCAGTTAAGCTCGTTTCAGATGCTGATGTGCACATTGTGAGTTTCCAAGGCAGTGTTCAATGAGCTGTGTTTCCCAAACTTAACTAGCTTGGTAACCACAATATGTGCCTCATTATGCACGACACCTCACAAGACTAGTGTTATGTGGAACACACTTTGAAAATATTGACCGTGTCCATCCAGTAGTTCTGACCCTGGAATGTTATAGTATATTAGGTCTGCAGGTTACTTCAGGACTTTAAGAAAAGCCTAGTTGAAATACGCTGTTGACCTGCACTAGCACCTCAGAGGCCAACTTCAGTGACAGATTTCTCCGCTTTTGTATGTGATTGTACTGTGGAAGTAACGTTGGTTATTTCATCCTCTTAGGTGCTCTGAAAACTTGATGACACTTTAGGAATCTCAGAGGCATTGGTGGATTAATCACTGTTTTCAGAACCACATCTAAGATGTCACAGCAAATGAATTAAAATTTTTTCAGCAGTGAGAAGGTTGGAAATCCTTGTAAGAGTCAAAGATTGTCCCAGTACTCAATCACATTTTTGTTCAGTTTTTAATTTATTCAGCAGAAAACTGCTGGGAGCTTATTCTTGGCCAGGCTCTTTGCTGGTTGGTATTTTTCCTCATTGTGAATTTTACGTTCACTTGTTCATATTACTAGGGTGGTAACTTCCCAGGTGATTGCTCCCGTGTACAGACAGAGTCCTGGCAGCGTGAGAGAATTTAATGCTGCTTCTACCATGCAAGGTTCCTTGGGTAGAAAAGGTTTTAAAGCCACTGATATAAACCACACTCTTGGTTATTTGTTTAAGTAAATTAAGGCATCTGAGGTTAAACTGCTGACAGTTTCACACCTAGATCATGCAGAAACTCGGGGACAGATCCCAGATTTTCTTAACTCTGTTCATCTTTCGCAACTGGCTGTTACTACCATGCATTGTAAGTGAAATAGAAGAACCCAAATAGGTAAAAGGAAAAACCACAGAGAGCAGTCTTTTGAAGGCTTAGAATTGATTTTTAATTTTCTTAGGCATTATTCCTTCTTGTTGGCTATTTACTTAGCAAGAGCTACCATTTTGCATTTCTATTCAGAATCTAGAGCAGGTTGGACATTTAAGAGTTTTGAATGCCGGTAATGTAGTGGAACATCTTCAAATCTCTATCAAATTAAAATATTACAGTAATCTCATTATAATAATATAAAATTATAAAAATTATAATAATCTCATAATAATCCTTGAAACCCATCTGAAGGAAGAAGTGTGTGTCCTGTTCACATTATAACAACAGTGGTACTTGTGAACAGACTTTGCCTACTGGTATTTCTGTACCTGATCTCCTAAAAATTGGAAACCATTTATCATTGTGTGATTGAGACCTTCTCCTCTAAGTCCTAATGTAGCTCAAGCTTTATTAACATGTCATAGATAAAAGAATGTGGTGTTCCTTCTTTTTGCTCCACTTAGTGCCCTGCTGTCTGACCTAGCCTTACTTGTAATGACCTGCTTCACTTTATGGTCTGGTTGTCATGGAAGGAGGAAGGATGCATCTGCCCTACACATTGTCAGTGTCAGCCTGGCAAGGACCTTACCGTGTGCTTTATCTCCCCGTCTCACAGATGAGGAAATGAAATCCCAAGATCTCACCCCAAATTAGGGACAAGACCAAGATCTTAAAAGACAGCGCTGATGCCCTTTTCCTGTTCACTTGTCCATTTCCTTCTAGGAATGCTCACGAAATTATCAGATATACATTAGCTAGACTTTTTTGGTATGGAAACCTTTGAAAGCAAAATGAACAGATGTGGAATACGATATTTAATTTTTGATTTTATGTTCTTCCTGTGAGGTCATCTCAGAAAGATGGCCTGTGGAAACGGAGCATTGACAAGAACAGGAATTAAACCTGTTTCGTGTGTGTTTGAACATGAGGAAAAAAATGTTGTTTAGGGGTTTGCTCACTAGCTTGAATCCTGGATTAAATATTTTGTCGTGGGGAATTCGCTCCTGTTGCCGCCTGTTTGTAGTTCCGATATTGAGGGGTTTGAGTTGAATTTTTCCTTCTTCCAAACCCTTGCTTAGACAGAGAAGGCACTGCGCGCTGGCTTTCAGATGCTGTGTCTGCTCTACGTGTATCGTTGTAAACATTCTAAACATCGGCTCCGTCATCCACACACAGTCCTTTGGTTCCAACGTTTTCTCTCCCGTTTCTGTTTTCCAGATTCACGGCCGTTCCTCGGTACCAGTGCCAACCTGACCGAGAGGTACTGCATGTTTATTTTGTTACTCCTTTCCCCGAGACAGAATGAAGGAAACCCAGAATGTCTTAGGACATTTAACTAAGTCAACGAAGAAGTGAATTCAGCTCATGGGATTCTTCCTTGAGTAATCAATTTGGAATAATGGCTACAAGTGGTTTGTAAAGAAGGCTCTGGCCTTTTCAAATAATGTCCTCAAGAGTCTTTTATTTTTGTTCTCTACACTATCGCAAGGACATGTTTGCATGTTTATTCAGGAGAGGAAACACTTGTATTTGACTCTATGAACTTTAGTACTCTGTTTAGAGGAATTGTTCATCCCTAAGCCCGACAACATTTTGTTTCATTGTGTGTGTGTGTGTGTGTGTGTGTGTTACTGCTGCCTTAGCCATTTTAAGCTTTTAAAGTCCTTTTCTTCTGCCTGCACGGATATGGTACACAGTTCTGTCTGAGTAAGTTAATTGGTTCTTACTTGACACAGCAGGCAGAAGATTTGTATGTTGACTCATTGTTTATTTTTATATTCCTCTTGTCATGCTTATGGGGCTCTTGAGTATTCTAATGTGAGCATAATGGGGGTTCTGGTTGTTGCTTTGCACTTGAAGCTGCTCTCCTTTTCACAGAGGCATAAGCTGTGACTCAGTGATCCAGAACTCTCAGTATGAATGCTTCTCTTTGCATTTCTGTGATAGTTTATTTATCTTTTGTCCTCTAGAGCAGTGGTTCTCACACCATTTCCCCTTTATCGTAATGACAGGCTGCTTTATTTTGTAAGCAGTTCTTTATACATAAACAGACCTTAGCTATTGAAGAGGATTGTTCCCCCTCTTGAGTTGTGCCTCTGTCCTCTCTCGAGGCCCTTGAGGTAAACAACTTTTCTGCGGAAAAGTTCTTAAAATAACGATTTGTAGAACACCTAAGAAAAGTGGTATAAGTAGATTCCTTTTCTGTGTAATGGATTGTGTGTACAAGTGCCCAGCATTCTTTGAGGAAATGAACCACTGAATTTTCTAAGATCCAAACTTAGTCCATCATAGATGGACTTAGATTCTTTGTAGCCTCCCTCCTAAAGTTGTGCAAAGCTGTATGCACCAGTATTGATTGCCGAGTGTGCCAAAAGACTAGAAAAGATATGTGATTTCTGCTTTTAGGGAACTTGAATGTACATTCAGTCATAACAATTCCTGTGTCTGCAACCTTTATTAACATACCCATCATTCCATTATTGTATTTATGAGTTTCTTCTCAAGCACCTATTTGATGCAACGATGTTTCTAAATTGGGTGCTATTTTAGATTAAGAAGTTTGAGGTAAAGTAATAAATGAATAATTGACAGGTAGGCTGTGCTTCATACTAGGTCACTAAAAATCTGTTAGTAAAACATTAATGGCTGATACAAGAAAGCATAGCCAGGTTTTGGCACCGGAGCGTGGGCATTGTGGTGTGCTCTGTTCTCAGATCTTACTTTGTGGAGTCACTCAGCAGCCTCTGTCCATCCTTGCTCTGCCTCCCGTTCTCATGTGTGTATGTAAGTTGACTGTGACTTGTAGCTAAAATGTATATGGTTACAGAGAAATGTATTTTTTAATCTGTGTTTAATTTTTTAAAATTCTGTAGTCTTTTTTAAAAAAATCAATTGCCTTGTTTTTATTTAGCATAACAGAAGAGACCTATAGTTTCCTGCCACAAAGCCCCTCCAAGAAAGATTTTGAAGGGAAGAGTGGAACAAAAGTCAGTCGTACATTCAGCTACATCAAGAATAAAATGTCCAGCAGCAAGAAGAGCAGAGTAAGTACCGTTGGGGGCCTTCCCTGTGTGGCCGCCTTAGTCCCTCACCCGTGGGCTCCTGTCACAGCCTGCATACACCCAAAAAGTGATGAAATAATGGGGACAAAAGGAAATAAACCCAGAAACAATCTCTGACATAGCCTAATATTTGAAGAAAAATAACAGCAAGAAAAATGGCGACAAAAGGTGATACCACTGATTGGGTTTTTACTGTATGCCAAGAGCTTTCCATATGTTATTTTATATAATCCTTTCCACAGCCGCGTAAGGCAGATATTATCTCCCTTTTCTGGGAGTGAGCCACCCTATGTGGGTGTGTGTGCCCCCCACGTTAGTGGAACAGAGGTCCGGCTTCAGATCCCATACGCTCAGGCACATGTTTTAATTGGTAAACCAACTTTAAAATGTACCTGAAGGGGGTGGCCTGGGTGGCTCAGTTGGTTAAGCGTCCAGCTCTGGATTTCGGCTCAGGTCACGATCTCGAGGTTGTGAGATGGGGCTCCGCACTCAACGTGGAGTCTGCTTGTCCCTCTCCCTCTGCTCCTCCCCCCCACTCGTTTTCTCTCTCTCTCTCTCTCTCTCTCAAATAAATAAATGAATAAATAAAATCTTTAAAAATAAATAAATAAAATAAAATGTACCTGAAGGATTTTATGCCAAGATCAGGGGATTTAAAATATTTATATTTGGATTTAGAGGTTAGAAAGATTGTCCCACAGAAAATTACAAGAACTTTTAAGACGAGAGTGGATTCCTAGATCTAGTTCCAATTGGATCTGCATGTTGCAGTGAATTCTCTTTAGTGAGTCAGGTCATGTTAAAGTACTTAAACATTTTTTTGTCTGTTTTTTTTTCATACTCATAGGAATATTTAAAATATAAAAAAAAAAGATAAAAACCACCTGTAATACCCCACATAGAGATAGCACTCTTCTAGTTTTTTTCAATGTATTTTTAAAAGCAAGGAAGACAAGGAGTTACTTTTCTTATACTGATTCCCAGTGTAAACCAAAACCAATTCAGTGTCACATCAGTCGGGAAAAAACTTAATGCCTCCCACTTCCCCTGTATTCCATTCACCCACCCATCCACCCAGACTCCAGCAAAATAAAGAAATAACTAAAAAACAGTTTTTAAATGGAAATCAGCGAAGGAGCTCTTGCCAAGGAATCACTATATATATGCATGTGTATACATGTGCATGGTATGTACATACGTAGAAGTAAGGGAATGAACAAACACTGAACTCAAGAGTATTATTTTAAAAGTGCACCCCTCGCACTCCCCCCCGCCCAAAATATAGCAAGCTTTTTAAGCCCTCAGTTAAGTGGGCTGGTAGAAGTAGAGCCAATGAATTTTATGAGGTTTTGTAAGTAAGATCACTTTCTTTTAGCAAATGCTAGGTTCAATCCTCAGAGGAATTTTTCCACAAAACCTGCCACCGGAATTGTGTTTTCATTTTTCCTGCCCAGGTGCAGAAGGGAAGAAGGTGGGCCAATCAGGAAAAAGACAGGAAAAGATGCAGGGAGTCTAGCAAATTTTTTCTAGAATAATCATGTATACAAGTATTAACTTCAGACATAGCCTTGTTTTATCATTTAAAAAATTCAGGTTAAGTAGTGCAGAATGTTTATCAGTGTTCCACAGATTGGCGGCAAGGCTTAAAATAGAGCCTTATCTTTTTGACTTATCACTGCTGGCTTGGACACTGGTTGGCATCAACAAAAGAAAATCTCCTTGCAAAGATCAGTATAAATTAGCCAACTATTACCAAATGATTTCTGTAGATGGTCTCAGTATTCTGCCAGGTGCTCCTAAAGAACTACAGATCATCATCTTTACTTTGAGAAGTTCTGTGATCTCTTCGGACACTTTCAAATGTAGTTGTTGTGTTTGTTGTTCTGTTTTTAAATTTGTGGGATCTTCAGTTGGAAGACCAGTAAATAAATGGCGAGTCCCCTTTCTCTCCATTTCTGCAGTGACCACGTTAACTTTCAGGGCAGGGCAGTGAATACACCGCAGATTGCATTAATGAGGGAATACAAATAGACATAAACAAAACCATATAAGATCAAATTTAGAAACTGGAACCTGACTTTTTTTTAAAAAAGTCTCATCCCATCCTCCTTATTTTACAAACTGAAGCCCAGAGAACTGTGCTTCAGGTCACAGAACTAGATAATATTAACTAAATAACCTCTTTGTGGGCTGACTTCTAGCAATTAGTATATTTCATTTCATGCTCACTCAAAATCTAGCCATTACTAAACAGTATCTTTTTAACTTTTTAAATAACTCAGAGGACTGGAGTTTGCTAGTAGGGAGTGAGAGAAAGGCAGGAGAAAAGAAGGAAATCGTTAGAGCGGAGTCTGTCATCCCTGGCAGAAACTGTTATCAGTTGACCTTTCGTGTCCGAGCATCTCCTTTGCCAAAACGACAACACTGTTTTGCAATGAGACTGGTTCCTCTTTCACACGTGGCTTCAACATTTGGTCTTTGGGGGCTCATGCTGTCTCTGGCAGTGGAAACTCAAAAAATTACGAATCTGGGGGTGCCTGCGTGGCTCAGTCGGTTAAACGTCTACCTTCAGCTCAGGTCACGATCTCAGGGTCCTGGGATCAAGCCCCGCATCGGGCTCCCTGTTTGGCGGGGAGTCTGCTTCTCCCTCTCCCTGCCTCCCTGCTCATTCTCTCTCTCACTTCCCTCTCTTTCTTTCTCTCTCTCTCTCTCTTTCAAATAAATAAACTTAAAAAAAAAAAATTACAGATCTGTAACCCTGGATGGCAGTCCTTCACATTATCAGGTGTTTAGAAAAGTGTCCCACTGGCCAAATGTGTCAAGAAGGATAAGAGTCACCTTTCATGTAGAATAGCTTGCTTTTGTGAATGTACCAAAAGATAGTAAGAAATAGGGGAAATAGTGTCAAGTTACATTAAATACTCATCTATTATATGTGCTTAAGAGTTAATCTGTATGTCACACTCTTAAATAATATTCTAAGGAGCTAAAAGGAGCCAAAAAATTATTTATATTTTGCCTGTAGCACTAAGAGATAGAAAATTCCTCATATTTTGCCTCTAGCACAGATACATATGTATATATATATAAGAATTCTATGTGTGTGTATATACACACACACACACACACACACACACACACACACATATAGGATTTGAGAACTTGAGTACTGATCCTTCATATGTGCTTTTAAAAATTAGCGGTATCTGGCACGAGTAATTAAATGTATTCAGTGTTTTTTTTTCAAAGGGGGCGAGCCTAAACAGGAAGTATAACAGGAAGACTGGCAGGTTCTGCTTTTGTCTTTTTAGTATCTTCTGATAGTACCATTTCCTGCTAAGTATGTTTGCTTGTTGCAGAGTATTGAAACACTAATGTGCATGGTGGTCCCATTCACAAAGGGAGTAGAGTGAGCCCCTTTAGACCATCCTGTCACACTGATGTTCTTCTTAGAGCTTTCCCCCTCACAGACAACTAGGAGACGGGCAGAAATGTTCTACAGAAATTCTTACTCTGGCTTGAAATGGGCGTTTGCGGGGCAAGGGCTGCATTCCTGCAGAGCTGCTACTGTTGGGCTCTGCCTCCTTGGGCCTGTGCCCCCATAAAAGAACTAAACCCGTGAGCCTTACGGAGGTGCCCGCTGGAGTGTGTTTGCAAAGGCTGAAGTCTGTGTGAAATACGGTTCTCTGTCTGGTTCCTTCTCCCATCAGAGATGTGCAGCCGGGGCAGTGGCTTCACAGCAGCTTGTTGTACAGCTGTCTGGAGTGCTCTCTGCTCTCCTCATGGTAATTGCTTGTCTAAAATGGTAGGTGGGGGAGAGCAAGAACTCGTTTTCCTTCTTAGTACCCTGGTGTAGTTATTTCCTGCAGCCATCCCTGAAATACTGGGAGCTCCAACTTCCCCATGTTGTTGAACATGGAAAAGTCATACTTGAGAAAACAACTGGTCATCACTTGACCACAGACTTCACCAAACACTGTTCTTAGGAAGCATACATTATGATTCGACATAATGAGGAGTCTTCTTAAGTAGATGTGTTCCTTAACTTCCAGGTGTCAAAAAATTGGCCTTGGTCCTTCCAGAGTGTCGAAGCACTGAAGCACCGTCCACACACACTATATTTTGGGGAATTAGTTTTGTTTCATTTCCCACGTCCTTTGTAACTAGGGTAGTTGGTTCTGCTGGCAGCATGCAAATGGTTAAGCCTGTCTTAAGGAAACCAGCAGCCTCAGCCCTCCCTCCTTCCCTTTCTCAACCAGTCCCTGGCTTCCTCTTATGGTCTCTCTGATGGCAACTCGAAGCTGCTGAGCTCTGCCCTGCAGGCATGAGCCCCTCCTCCTGTGAGAGCACATTTCCTGGCATGGGGGTCGAATCATGTCGGTAAAATGGGGTCGGTTTCCTGAAGTACCCCTCATAACAGTGAAATTCACAGGACATGGGGAGGTAAGAGTCTAATTTCTTTAGAGTACTAAATTCTAATAAACAGAGACAATGGGAGTTTATTGTTTTGTGTTTATCCTTGGAAGAACTAGTTGGGCTAATTGCAAAGGACAGGGGTATTATTTATTATTTATTTGGATTTGATGAGCATTGCGAGGCTTGAGAGAATGTTGCCTTAGAAGATTTTTTTTCAACTCTTGGAGCACGCTTTAGCTTTCTTAAGCAAAGAGGCAGATGCTGTTCAGTTTAACGTTTATGCACAGAAAAGCCTGCAGCAAGATTTAGTTAAGAGAGAGAAATTACTTGAAACAATTCCACTTGTTACTGATTGTTATTAGAAGATTACATTCTGTAGCGGTTACTGATTGTCACTCACAACAGTTTCCTGTTTTGTAAAGTGAAATACTTTGTTTTTCTCTCTCTCTCTCCTTAGTTTTTACAGTTCTAAAGTGTAGCAGTTCAGTTCTTAGATATTTATTATAGGTGTTCTGTTAACCAAGGGGGCTGTACGTGAATTAGACTTGGCCAGCACTCGCCGGTTCAGTACAGCAGATGGGCTCGGAATTAGGATGTCGGGAGACCTGCGTTGTGATGTTGACTGCCGATCACTTGCTGAGTGACCCTTTGTGAGTCAACACACCTCTCCAGCCGCTGGTGACAGAGTGTCGTGAATGAACACAGAGCTGTGGAGTCAGCCAATCTGGATCTTACTTCCATCCTGGGCAGTTACTGGCATGTGGCCTCAGATTCACTATTAAACCTCCCTGAGCTTCAGTCTCCTCAAACATGCTGTGAAGATCGTAACTAGTACTTCACTGGGTTGTTAGGAGAAAATACACCTAAGTCGCCTGCTGTCGTGCTTGGCACATAGCAGCTGTTGAGAGTTGGAGCTGGTATTTATCATCTTTATCTTCTCAGTTGTACAAAGGGAAGCGCGATGCCCGCCCTTTCCGCTTCAGAATTGTGGAGTCAGGTGCAGTCACGTACATAGAAGGTGTTGATTCAACGTGTAAGGCATTTTGTAGTTGTCGTGATCACAAACTTTGGGGTGCCCCTGTTGCAGTAATTTTTTTAGATGACAACAACGGTATATGTGTATGTAGGGGACAGTTAATACTTCCGGCTAGAGGGAGTCCAAGAGGAACCCCCGAGCAATGCTTCCTGCCATCCCGTCGTCTTCCCTCTCCCCAAGGCTGATCGGAGAATGGTTGCCGTCCTTTCTGCTCCCCACCTGCAGCTGGCCCTCAGCTCATTGCTTGCTTCCTCCGTGGGCCAAGCTTGGGCTTGCTGAGGAGGGTTCATAGGCCACCCCAGAGTCCCCTCCTCCCAATGCAGAAGCCTCTTCCCGGGGTTGGTGCTGGGACGTGTCCATTGGTGTGAATACCACTGAGCAAGCAGCCGACAGGACTGCTTCGCCTGCCTGGTCTTCGTGTGGCGTTTCCAGTGTAGCTGGAATGCTCACAACTTAGAAGAACCATTGTCCAGGACAGTGCTCCTGACTTGCATCCAGAGCACTCACCGCCACCCACCGATGACCCCATGCCGCCTGGGTGCCCAGGTGAGGGGAGGGCCTTCTGATGTTCAGTTAACTGTTGGTGCTTTCTTTTGGCAGGAAAAGGAAAAAGAGAAAGAGAAAATCAAAGAGAAGGAGAAAGAGTCGAAGGAGAAGGAGAGGGACAAGAAGATGGTCAACGGGCACACTTTCAGTCCCATCCCTGTTGTCGGCCCGATCAGCTGTAGCCAGTGCGTGAAGCCCTTCGCCAGCAAGGACGCCTACACGTGTGCAGGTACGCGACGCGCCTCTTCCTGTGAGGCACAGCCCTCTTGGCTCCGGGAAGACTCCTTCCAGGTTTCCCGTCCACCCACCCATGTCCCTTCCTGGTGTGTGTGGGGAGGCTGGCCCGTTACGTCTGTCTGAAACAGCCTGTGTGTCGTCAGTTCCAGATGTAGAACATACAGCCGGCATGTTTTTACAGAGAGCCCCGATTTCTTATATTCTGTTCTGTTGTCCCCAAGCCCCTGCCTGTCCCAGAAGTCTGTGTCAGCATCGAAACAGCCTCCCTGCCTCAAACTCTGAAGCTATGCAGCAGTCCCTCGTCAGGTCCTGTATGCGCTTGTTTTTATTCTGGTACTTGGGCGGATGCTTCAGCCGTTTACCAACATGCGGTCATGGTGACTGCCAAGAGAAGGTGCTTGCACGTGCAGAGATGTCCCATATTGACCTGTAGCTGACGCGCTTCAAACCACCTTAAAGCCAAGTCTGTTAACTGAGCCCGGGTCCTGGTTTTGATACGATACTGGGCAGAGGATGGCTGGCTTTTTTTGTCAAGGACCACTAGCAGATATCTTAGACTCCGTGGGCTGGATGGTCCCTGCACAGCTACAGAGCTCTGCCCTTGTTGTGCAGAAGCAGCCTACGTGACATGTAGACCAGTGAGCATGGCTAGTGAAACTGGAATTTCATGTGATTTTTGTGTGTCATAAAATATTGGCCTTTTTCCCCCCCCCCAACCGTTTAGAAATGTAAAAACCATTAGTCGTGTATGGGCCATACAAAAAGTGGGCTATGGGCTGGATCTGGCCCACAGACCCTGCTCTAAGGTACCGTGTCTCAAAAACACTGTCAGTTGGATATATAGAAAGTAGTGATATTTGCAGTGCACACCAAAGTAAATCAGTGAGGCTGCTTGTGGCCAGAAGGGACCAGGCTGGAGATCGAGCCACCCCAGGCCCAGCCCAGTCACCCAGGAGGCTGAGGTGATTAGCACCGTGTTATACCTACAACCACGTCAGACAAAACAGTGACTGATTCAGACGATCAGGACGTCGTGACATTGTCTTGTTTTCAGTCATTTGTGTGGAGTATCCCAAGTGATTTGTTACCAAAAATAATTAACTTACTGGAATTTGAAGTTTTTAAAAGCTTGTTTGAGCAGATTCAAAGCTACTGCAAAAATGATTTCCACCCACTTGCTTTCTTGAAGAGAAGAGTGGAGTGCAGCTCGCCTGCAGCCCGGCTTATCGCTGCCGCAGCTGTCGTACTTTCTGAATGACTGACTTTATCATCACGTTCTTTTAAGATGACTTTTGTGGGTATATTATATCCCAAATGTTGTCTGCAGCCCTGTTTGTTGTACTGTCCTATTTAAAAAAGAAAAAAAAAAAACATCTCCTGGGAAGAGCTCTCGAGATCTTTATGCATATCACACACACTTATGTCCTCCTTCCTGCACATAGCCTCACCAGGAAAGTAAGTGGTAAGTTCTGCGTGACCTCTAGAAAACAAGAGGCCACCGCTGTCTGCTACCTCCTGCATGTTTATTTGGGGGCCCAGGTTCTATGAGGCTCCTCCTTGGGACACCAACTGAATGTCCTCTACTTAGTTTCTTAGCCACTTGACACAGCTCCTTGGTACTGGAGTAACGTGGTTGCCCAGGGCAGTAGTCACCAAGCACTTTTTAGTATGTTCATGTATCATTAGAACGTTCTTAACCTACTCACAAGGGGTATATATATTTAATGCAAAAATTACATGCTTCTCCTGTCCTACACTTAGAAAGAGCTCATTCTAGGGGCACCTGGGGGGCTCATTCAGTTAAGCATCTGACTCTTGATTTCAGCTCTAGTCACAATCTCAGGGTTGTGAGATCGAGCCCCGCGTTGGGCTCTGTTGTGGGCATGGAGCCTGCTAAAGATTCCCTCCCCGCCCCCCCAGTAAAGAAGGAGCAGGGGAGAAAGGAAGGAGAAGAGAGGAGAGGAAGGAAAGAGAGAAAGAAAAGAGAAAAGGAAGCTCGTTATAGGAATAAGAGAAGTCAGATTTGCCATTTTCTTGTTTGCTGGTTATTAGTCTTAATAATATTGTCTTAGGTCAGTGGTTTCTTTGCAGGAATTTGTGTAAGCTACTTTTTCATTTTATTTTAGTTGAAACTAAAGCTCACTTCATTGAGCACCTGTAAATTTCCATTCATCACAGCATGCTGAAAGTAAGTGAGTGAGGACAGGCACCACTGTCCTCTCCCCTTTCAAGTGCTCTTACCTCTAGCAACCTACCTCTATACAACCTCTAGCATGTATAAAGGGAAGCTGCCCAACATAAAGGGCTGAATGAGGCACCAATATATCGTCTACATATTAACTGTTTCTCTTTAAAGTCAATATAAATGAAAGCTGTAAAATCTTGCTCCCATATCCCAAAGAATCATTTTGTGTATCCCTCCTGCAAAGTGCCTGTTCTCCATTTGAGGAGTACTGGTCTCAGAGAAAAACAGAAAGACCTCCTATTTCTTGATTGGACAGTATGAAATTGGTATTCAAAGAACTTCAGTGAAGCAGACTGAATACCTACTGTCTGCTATAAAACAAAAATATTCAACGCAATATATTAAAAAAAAAAAATGAACACATAACTGAGCCTGCAGAAAGGAAAATCCCTGAAGGAACTCAGAATCAGAGCACTAAAGAGCCTCCCCCTTAGTAGGGAACAGGGTATGTGGCTCCAAGGCACATAGTGGGAGCTGGACCTGAGACCCCCAGATAAAACCAAGAGCTTTAGAGACTGCAACATCCATACTGAAGGACCTAGAAAAACTCCACCCACTGGCCTTTCAGAAGCAGCAAGGAAACGTGCCTTCTCCCAGGACTCTGAGTGAGAATTCTGCATCATATGTGAACCTGGGGTCCAAATTCACACCATCCATACCCCAAACTAAGAAATTTTCACAAGCAGTTGAATGAAATCCCAACCTGAGAATGATAAAACACTAAGGAACCTCAGCTGAAACAAATACAGACCTGCCTCGCAGGGTCACATTGACAAAACAGGCTAGCTGGAGGTTCCCACGGGAGGAAAGAAGTCCTGTAAAGCTGAAACTGAGCTTACAATTAAAACTACATGGGTGTCTGGGTGACTCAGTCATTTGAGCATCCGACTCTTGATTTCAGCTCAGGTCATGATCTCGGGGTCGTGGGATTGAGCCCCATGTCAGGCTCTGTGCTGGGTGCAGCGCCTGCTTGGGATTCTCTCTCTCCCTCCCCCTTCACCCCTCCCTGCACTCGTGCACGCACGCATGCACCCTCTCAAATAAATTAAAAAAAAAAAAATACACAGACGCCACATAAGGAAGTCAGCCACCACGAGGAAGTTAGCAAATGCGTAGACAGGGGAAAATGTTGAGGATTATTAAGAGGTTAAAATACATAGAATTTCTAATGAAAGAACAGCTAAGGGGGTAGATTTGAAAAATAACTGAATAAAATTTCAGGAATAAAAATAGCTCTGGAAGGATCTTCATGGAGATTTTTCAGACATGTCCGTGTTCTGCACCATCACTGGACTGTTGTGATTTCTGTTTGTTTACGGAGGAAAATGACTTCCACTCTGTCACCTGCTTTAGGAAAGGGAGAGCTGGGTGAATGTTCTAGGAACTCTCATGACTGCACACTGACTTTATTTTTTACATTTAACTGTCAGTAATTATGCACTTGAGTTCCTTATCTTAAAAGAAGTTCTTCAACAAAGACCAGTTACCTCTGCAAAGCACTGTGTTTGGTATTGTGATTTCATTCAGAAGCCGAGGGAGTTAACATTAATTGCAACTGTCCTAGGCATCTCTGATTTCTGATTCTTAGATCCATTAAAGCAACTTCATTGTTTTCATTTACTGACTCTAAAAGTAAATGTTAAAACTGTAACTCAAAAATCCATCCTAAATATTTTACATATTTGATGTCCCGTATAACAGTATTTCACTCAAGACTTTTTAAAGGAGGAAACCAATAAAATACCAGATTGGCTAATCGATTTATGCTAACAGTGTTTATAATGGGATGGAACTTTTCTGGATGGAACTATTTGGCTTAACTGTTTCTTCTGGAAGCAGAGTATTTCACGGAGTCCAACGTATCATCACTGGCGTCTTTTCTGTTTGGAGGTCTGTCAGGAGAAGGGAGTATCAGAATATCCTCAGCCAGTGGTTCTTTGATATATGGCAATAGCTTGATCTAGCAAAAATGTCACAGATTACGTTAGTTCTCCCTGCTCTGCAAAAACAAGGGAAAAGAATAATATTTTTGAAGTTTGAACTGAAAGAATCAGCAAAAAGGAACAGTTTGATGGGGCCTGATTGTTAGCCTCATCTGCACCTAAGGTTCAAAAATCCCTGTTTAATTTGCATACCACCCCACCTCAGAAACTTCAGGCCTCGCTCCCTGCCTCCTCTGCAGCTTTGCACTCAGCCCTGGGGGAGTGTTGAAATAGGCTCAGCATTTGGTGGTGGCATTAAGATGTGTATATGACAGTGTGCAGCCTGCCGCTAATTAAAAAAAAAAAAAAAAAAGGCTTGAAAGTGAAGGAACAATGTGTAGTCATTTTCCCAAAGGAGCAGAAGCAATTGGCTGATTGTCTTCAGCTTCCTGAAGAACGGAGCCTGCAATGAATGTTTATGTGTGTGAAGCACCATCTGTTATCTTAGCGGGAAGTGGAAAATATGAGTAATTTGGAGATTCAGAATCTTTTTTTCCCTTTTCTCCATCCCCTCCCATGTTCAGGATCTTCCCAGGAGTCTCAGGAAATGTAACATCCCTCCATTTAGTCACTTACCCTCCTGGTAGCTTTCCTTTTCAGTTTAACATAACCCTCGGTGGCTGACTCTTGGAGCCTCACACCCAAGCGCCTGCTCAGTCAGGTTTAAGTTGTAGTTTGGGAAGATCAGCCACATAGCCCACCGTACTGATGGATGATGGTGGCTGATACTGACGGGCACCAGTCTTCCAAACGTCATTAGTCCCT